TAACCGAATTTTTTCCCGGATTTAAATTAAAAAAAACAAAATTATTAATAAGAAATTTATAAATTGATTCTAACCTAAAAATACTCTTCTTATAAACAAATCTTTTTTAATTTCCGGATTAAAAATAGAAACAAACAAAATATTTAGAGATCGATTATAACCAAAAAAATGTATTTGTTATCTTACTTTTTATAATTCTCGGATTTAAATTCGAAGAAAAAAAAAAACCTTGAAAAAAATGTAGAAATCGAATCTAACCTAAAAATACTTTATAACCGAAAAAAATTTTTCGTTAAACTAAAAGTTTTGCGAACAACTATTCGCAAAGGGGTGAATATCACCCCAGTCGAAAGTATAAAATTATTCATCATTAAATACAATGAAAGTTTACTAAAACTTCCAAAATTAATTTTTTTTCTTTGTCCTCTTCGAAACTCTGCTTACGACTCCCGACGAGACTGCACTGAATGTTGTCACTAGTAATGATGACACTGCCCTCTAGTATACGATCCTGTGAACTGAAACAAAAAAGCACATAATTATTAAAGACCGACAATTTGAAATAAAATAATACAAATAATTTAATGGTAGGCACTTTTTTTTGTTCATTGAGAAATATATTAACAGAATGAATAAGAATAGTACGCCTGAAAACCCCTTCATTTGCCTCGTTCAATTTATTTACATTCTTTTTGAAAAAGAATAAGCAGCGAGTAATTCGCCGCGGCAAAATGAGATCGTAATCATGAAATAATGATGAACCAGCAACGTTCATCGTTTATTTTACCTGTATGTTCAAGTGCACCTGTGAACGTTCCCCACATTCCCGGGTACAGTTTTACGTCATGCTTTTTAACTCGTCTTAATGGAAACAACGTTTCCAATTAGGTACTCCACTCTATTTGCCTTTAATGTCCCGGAAAATTTTACCGCTTGTTTCTCTAATTCAAAAAAGAAAGATTCCATCTTCATCACAATATTTGATCAATAAAATGCTAATTTTTAACGTGATTTCTTTTGCTTATAATTTAAGTATATTAAAAGATTTATTCTCGATTTGTTTCATTATAAAATCATTATACAGAAAAATATAAATGGTAAATTAAATTTTTTTATTAAGAATTATTTTCTGAAAATTGATGTTCTTTATTATTCTGATTACCTTTTAAGTGTAGACTATTCGTGTGGACCAGCCATAAGTTTGCTGGTTCAATATATAAAAGTTTTTTTTTCGAAAACGTGCTGTGGTTTACCACTCAACGAGAACTGACCTTTATGAATACTAAGAAGGTTTGCGGGTATGAAAGCACGCGATTCGCGGTTGTCGGAAAATCGGAGCGTGTCAATAATTAATTCACAACTTTGGCGGTTCCTCAATTTCCGGAGAAATATCCATCATATTGATGCTTTCAAAAATTCAACATGGCGGAGCAAAGTATATTAATAATTTAATAAGTTTTAATCGAAAACCTTGAGAAAATTTCTATATTAACAAAACGCAAATAATTCTGCACCAATTAAAAGTTAATCAATTTAGACAGTTATACTACACGTGGGATATTAATTTCCTAAGTGGAAACAATATTTCATTCTGGCGGGAGGGAGAGAAGAAAAAAAAACAGGAGTGCGAGTAAAGAATGAAAAGGCAAACAGGTTTTAATGAGATTTTAATCTAAGGCTTCTTTATAAGCATCATAATTTGAATTACTTATCATATAACTGGCAAGTAAGTTTCAGAAAATTTGCGTGTATGCATAATTTTAAGTAATCAAGTTCACTGAGTCCATCCGGAATTAACATGCTGGACCGGATGTGGGAGGGTTCCGTCTTTACCTACACGTTCCAAACGTATATCAACACAATATCAGCGTGTCACGAGCTTTATACCTCTGGGCACTGGCCCATTTCCGCGATTCCTCATCGTTTTTTGTACCTAATAGCAGATGTACATGCGAACGCGCCCTAATGTACTGTTCGCGGTTCGACGCACCATGACCAATGCCGCATTTTCGACGCACGAGGCGTGCAGATACAACATTATTGCCTCAAAAAAAGAAAGAAAAAAAAATAAAACATTCACTGTAATATGGTTTTGAATACCATCCCTCGCACTAAAAATGATTTTTTATTTTTGTTTCGTATCTTCTTTACAGGGTTGCCATAAAAATATAATTTTCTTTTTCCCTGATTTCCAGACCAAAATTTCCACTTTTCCCTTGATCCTAAAAAATATTCTGATTTACTCTAAAAATAATTAGATTCTCAAAAAAAATGTTCTATTACATATGTGAAATGTCGATTAGTCAAAAATTCTCCAATTAAATATATGTTAGAAAATAAAAATTTCTAATAATTTCAAAAGGAATTCAATTAAACTTTTTCAAAACAAATAAATCTGAAGAATTGTTAGTTAAAATTATGACAAAATCAAATTTTCAAAGATTTTAATTTGAAACCAATTGAAAATTCAATTATTTCTAAAAACTCAAGCTATAAAGCTTTTTTAATATTTAAATTATAATCTAAAATTTTAATTGAAATTCATTTTTAAATAAATTTTTATTAGAAAATTCTACGAGAATTTAATTGTTGAAATACAAAAATAAATAATTTATGGAATAATTGAATGTTTTTTAAAATTTAATTCTCATAAAGAATTTTATCAACAAAGTTTTAAATAATTGAATTCCTTTGACGAATGTCAATAAAATTTTTAAGAATAATTACATTTTTCGAGAAATTTGATTAAAATTAAGAATAATTGAAATTTTGCGATGAGTTTTATTATTTATGTTAATAATTGAATTCCTAAAAAGAATTTTATTATTTATATGAAAATAATTGAATCGCTGTAGAAAATTTTAGTATTTCTGGAAATAATTGAATAACTGCGAAGAAATTTATAAGAAATTTGTAAATAATTGAAGTCCTTTGAAATTTTTATTATTTACAAAAATAATTCAATGTTTGTGTAGAATTTTATTAAAAAATTTTTTAAATAATTGAATTTTCGGAAAAGAATGTTATTATTTACAAAAATAATTGAAATTTTGACAAGAATTTTTTTAAACTTTTGAACATATAATTGAATTTCTACGAAGAATTTTTAAAAAATTTTTCAAATCTTTTGAAATTTTTATTTTTTACAAAAATAGTTAAATGTTTGCGTTGAATTTTATTAAAATTATTTTCAAATAATTGAATTCTTTTGGGAAATTTTATTAAAATACACAGTAGGTATTGAAAATCATTAAATTGAAGAAAAAGCTTGAAAATAATTGAATTTCGGAGAAAAATTTTAATATTTATAGAAACAATTGGAATTTTGACTACAGAATTTTTTTTAATTTTTGAACATAATTGAATTTCTACGAAGAATTTTAATTTTAAATATTTTTAAAAGTATTCAATTCAAAAGTATTTAATTTCAAATACTATTTTGAGAATAATTGAATTTCTCCAATCATATTTGTAACTTTTCCAAAATTCCATTTTTTTTCAATGTTTTTAATTAAAATTTTTCTATAAATCCTTTATTTTTAATAATTAAATAAATATGTATTAAAAAATTTAACTAACTGCAGAAGAATTTGAATTTTTCAAAAATTTAAGCTCTTTAAAATTTATAATTAAATTCATTCAAATTACAATTTTCTATATAGGTAATTGCAAATGGAAACATTTGGAAGGTTATATTTTATGAAAATTGTAAACGCAACTCTTTTAAAATTCAATTATATTTAAAATGTTTAAGTAAAATTATTCATTAAATAATTTATAAATAATATAATTTTATGATATATAGTTCTTCCAGAATTAAGTTTTTTAAAAAGAAATTATTATCAGAAATAGAAGAAATGGAAGGTTTTGTATTAGAATTCGTGATGGTAATTTCATATATAGTTTTTTTTTGTATTAGAATTTGTGATGGTAATTTCATAGGTTTTTTAGGAAACAAAAGAGACAATGAAAATCTGTATTTTCTTATGAATTCAAAAAATTTAATATTTTCCAGTACTTTTAATAAAAATCCCTGACTGCCCTGACCTGTAACAACCCTAATCTAATATATTGTAAAATTTCTCTCCTCTTGCTAATGGATACGTCCCGCATTCTCTTTTTAAATAATATCGAAGACCCGTATTTATGTGAAATTAGAAAATTGGTGCACCCACAATTCAACCGCAATGGAATATTGACTTGTACCTACAATAATGGTCTACCACAATAAATATCATTTCACAGACCTTGACGAATATTGATCACCTACCGTTATATTTTTCTGACTTTTAATAACGTTTCCAATATCTACGGGTCGATTGAATTAAAAATTATGTTTAGTAAAATTGATCAAAAATGTGTTTTAAATTAACCGGGGGATAAATAAATTTCTTTTATCATAAATTGATGAAGAAAGATGGGTCTTTTTTCATCAAAAAGTCATGTCGAGAACAATGGTGGAAGTTTATGAAATGCTATTTTGTGAGCTATCAAAACATACTGGTAGGTCCAGTAGAAAAAGATATTGAAATGTATTTTTTTTTTTTTTTTTTTTTTTTGAAGGTGGTGAAGGAGATGGAGATTATCTGAATACAGTCGTTTCATAGTGAGTTGCGACCCCCCAGGGGGTAGTAGCTGGTCTCCCCTAGCGTCGCTCTTTCATGACGTATGGTGGTCATCTTTTCCCTGAATTACCACCATCTCCTTTCCACTTTGGTACCAAGGACCTTTACCCCAAATAGATTATTTGAATATCGAGTGCCCTATTTTTCCACAGACAGACCCTTTTTATTCGAGGGAAACTTTTTTTTCCATTCATAGACAATCGAGTACCATGTGTCACACTGATTGGTCCTGTTTTAACATAATTCCACTCACTCTTGATTGATTTGGTCCTTGAATAAAAGGGGGGATTAAATTTCACACACAATTCTTTCTGATTAGTTTTTTTTTTAATTGTCATTTTCATGAAATTAATTAAATTTTTTTGTTTGTTTCAGCGAGCGATGCGCTTGGTCGAATCGATAAGGAACCAGCATCTCCAGAATCAATACAAGGTAAATGAAAGTTTATGTCCAAGTAACCAAGTTATTATTTTCTCATCTGAAGAAGTTCCAAAAACACAAAATTCTATTTTTGGAAAATAATATGTTGAAAAATTGGCAAGGCTATTTGGGGATAATTTTTTTCCAAGTAAAGTATGTCATAAAGGCAATTATATAGATATGGTATTGTGCGAGAGAGATAGAAACTCCTGCGGTGGTTTGTCATTTGTTTTTAAGAACCCCTATGGTTCGTTCTATTTTAACTTAAAAATTGTACGCGGGGCGAAAGGCGATGATGCACATTATATGTATCTCCAGTTGGGTCTGCGCCCGTTTGGAAACCTTCAATGGATCGTAAAAAACGTTTTCGTTTGAAAGTCAACCGGACGACGAAAGCGGCCCAATATAATAATCGAGGAACAATTTGCAAAAGCCCCTCAAGGAGGTTTTGCTATACCAAAAAGCGGCTGGGTTTTTCTCCCAAACATCAACCCCATTCGATTCTTTTTCTGCGCGCCACAATTTTGCCTCTGAGTTTATAGTTTTTATTTTTAGGAACTAGAAATTCGGCGCCAGCTACAAAAGTTGCAATTGCAGCCTTTTAAGAATTGCTATATGGGGGTTTGCCTCTCCGTGACATGGGCAAAAAAAAAAAAAAAAAAACGAACAAGATCTTCTCCATTTCAAACACCCCAGGAAGACGCGTGAGAAACTTCCACCTGCTTTCTATATATACATTATTTCCGAAAAGACGTGAAATTACAAAAGTCATTTGTAGCCTAACAGTTGAAAGGCATAATTAACCTTATTTTTGCAAAGTTAGTGCAGTTTTTTTCTACTTAAAAATTTATTTATTCATCATCTAGTATGAAGATAGTGGAAATAAATTTCCAAAATTCGTTTCCCTTTTTTTAGTGTCGCGACGTTTCGATGAGTCTGTACCGATGACCCATCTTCAGGACTGAAAACAGAAAAGAATTTCTTAGAAAATTTCTTTTATAAAATTAATAAAATCAAAGTTAAGAAGATTAATAATTTATGTATAAACAAAATAAATATTTATTTATATTGTAAATATTTATATAAAAATACAATTTTTTAAAAAAAGTTAATTTTTACTTTTTTTAAAAAAACACGACCAATAAGCCATTGTTACTGTAACTTATTCTTCAAAAATTATTTTCATCATCTCGATTATTCATTACTTGAATTTTCAACTCAAATTCTTCCTTAAATCAATTTTTTTTTCAATAACTTTTGAAAAAGTTTTTTAAGAATTTTCAAACTTAAAATAATTAAAAAAAATTTTACTATAAAACTTATTGAAAAAAATTAATTTTACAGAATTTTTAATTAAAACTATGAAATGTTCAAATTTTCAAAGATTTTAATGCGAAACTTTTTGAAAATTCAATTATTTCTAAAAAAAAATCCACGCTTTCAATATTCAAATAATCTGAAATTTTAACTGAAATTCTCATTTTTAAATCAATATTTATTAGAAAATTCTACGAGAATTCAATTATTTAAATACAAAAATAAATATTTTATTATATTGAATGTTTCTTAAAATTGAATTTTCATAAAGAATTTTATCAACATAAATAATTGAATTCTCTTGACAAATTTTAATAAAATTTTTAAGAATATATTTTCATTTTTCGAGAAATTTGATGAAAATTGTATCAAAAATAATTTAAATTCAGCCAAGAATTTTATTAAAATTTTTCAAAATAATTGAATTTCGTAAAAATTTCGTAATTTCGTAATTGAAATTTTCACAAGATTTTTGTAAATTTTTGAACATAATTGAATTTCTTCCAAGAATTATATTATTATTTTTGAAAATAATTGAATTTTTGAGACGAATTTTATTGAAATTTCTATTTAAGTAATTGAATTATTTTGTGTAATTTTATTGAAATAATAGGCATTGAAAATAATTGAATTTTGACAAATTTTTAAAATTAATTAAATTTCTATGAAGAATTTTTTTAAAATTATTCTGAAAAAATTGAATTCTTACAAACAATTTCATTAACATTTTTGAAAACAATTAAATTTTTTCTATCAATTTAATTGAAACTGTATTGAAAAAAATATACTTAAATTCTAATAAATAAATTATAGGAAGGCTTTTTAAAATAATTGCATTTATTTGATAAATTTTAATATAATTTTTAAGAATAATTAAATTTTTCGAGGAATTCCATTAAAATTGTATTAAAAAAAATTGAAAGTCTACGATGAGTTTTATTATTTATGAAAAAAATGAAATCTTTGCGTAGAATTTTATTAAATATTTTTTAACAAATTGAATTCTTTTGTGGTTTTTTTTTAAAGTAGTAGGTAGATATTAAAAATAATTGAATTGGGAATAATTTTTGAAAATAATTAAAATTTTGCCAAGAATTTTATTAAAATTTTAGAAAATAATTGAATTTTTGAGAAGAATTTTACTAATACCTTTAAAAATAATTGAATATCTGATATCATTTGTAATTGCTTCAAAATTCAATTTTTTTTTGTGTTTTTAACTAAAATTCTTTTATAAATTCATTATTTTTAATAATCAACTAAATATATATTAAAAAATTAAATTAATTTCAGAAGAATTTTAGTTATTAACATTTTTTTTTAAATCTAGGTTTTGTAAAACTTCCAATTAAACACATATAAATAAAAAATTGAAATTTTACCAAATTTGAAATTAAAATCTTTCAAAGTTCATCTATTTATGAAAATTGCAAACGCAAATTTTTTAAAATTGAATTAATTTTGAAATATTGAAGTAAAATTAGATTTCAAGAATAAACACAACAATTTTTCAGAATTTCGATCAATATTCCCTGACTTTTTCAGGTTTTTTCAAGGTTTATAAAATTCCCTATGACATTTCCAGATTTTCAGGTGGCGTAGCAATTCCGAAATTAGCAAAATTTGTTTTGTTTCCAAAAATATTTAAAAGTAAATACGAATTTCTCATCTGTATTGGGATTAAAAAAAAATGGTTTTCTTTCTGAAATGACGGTTGACACACGTACATTGTGGTGTGTCCCATCCAATATTCTAGTTTACGAGGGTAGTATACATGTCCTCTCGAAGGAAAAAGGGTCTCTTCCAAACCTTTATGATACAACTTTCTTCTCTATTTCCTGTAAACTTGACGCTTTAATATCTTTCCATCACATTTTGAATTCTTTCTTTTTTTCGCCATCACCAAACGTCAACATTTGTATCAAGAAATCATATTTTACTTAAAAAAAAAAAGAATTAATTGACAGTTCGCAATACCAAAAGAAACGAGAAGCCAATTTTACAGCGAATCACGAATCAGTTTTCGACGACAAAAGAAAGGCATCATTTTATTTTGCAGGAATGCGCATCGGTTTCATCCTCTTTATTGAAAAAAATCCAGTGCACCCTTTCCGAGTTTCGAGGACCCATTTGAAATTCCGCGAGTCCTTTTCGCAGTCGGGATGAGAGGACTTCAAGAGAGGAAAGAATGATCTTGGCGGCAAAAAAATTTTGCCATGACTGGTCTCTTGGAAATCACGAACCGGTCGTAACCAAAGGACTTAAGGCATTTTGCCAATGAGTTCTCTCGGTTTATCTGCCTACCAACCTTAAGGAATATATATATAGAAAGAAAGAAAGAAAGAAAGAAAGAAAGGGGGGGGGGGAGGACAATGATGACCGAATCGTCAAAAGAGAATGGAGAAGGAAGGAAATAATAAAGGAGAGACAGAAAGTGGTCATTGCCAACCTGTGTTTTATTTTATAGCATTTAGTCCGTTGTTTGTCTTATTGCTATTAGACTGCGAGTCAATTAGTAATTTTATTTTAATGTGGATTCCCTGAATCGAAGAGCGAGAACTACCGACTGTGGAGCTGCTAACGGCAATGGAAGAGGAGTGGGGATTAAAAGAGGGCCTCAATTCATGCTGACGGTTACCAGTAGTAAGTTGATGGAGTGGGGATCAACTGTGTGGAGTTGGGCCCAAGTGAAGGGGGCATATCATTAGGAGTCATTAATATCGCGGACCTCTGTAATTTGACACACTTCCGATCGCCTAGCGCCACCACTCGCCACCCGCTCCATTTTTCTTCCACAAATATAATATTGCTAGTAAAAACTTTTGCCGCCACAATTCTGCACTAATATTTCTTGTCATTTTACAATATTTCTTTTGCCGCACACCGCACATCACGAATTTATTTTAACACCTCTATATAAAAAAATGAAAAATCTGTCAAAGTCAATCAATTATTTTTGAGAAATGTTTTACTTTTCTATCAAAATTTATAAATTTTCCGAAGTAGGGACTAGGGGAAGATCTATGGCAAAGTATGCGAGCAAAGGCTGGAATCAATTTTTGTTTAATATCTTCAATTTTTAAACCGCTGCTTCTTAATGACAATGATTTACGATTGTGATTTTATTATTCACGATCATTCATTAATTCGCTTCCTGGAAGGCATGTCGGTTCGGGATAAAAGTGCACAGCGCAAAATTTAATGTTGTGCGAGAGAGTTCAAACTTGTATACCGCGATAATCGCTTGTTTATTTATGCCACTTACGTACAGCACACCTGTTCAACCAATAAGGCTCGACTTGGGATTCCTTCGTCCTGCGAAGATTTCTCGAACGGAAACAAGAATCGAGACTTAATTTCCTATATAGCTCGACGCAATCCGTTAACTTTTCACTTCCTTAAGTGACGTTTCACCCCATTGGATTTTCAATGGAGAAAATTATTTTTTTGCCTCTCTTTTTTTCTATAACAAATTGGAAAAAAGAAGATAATACAAAAGAATCTGTTTAAAGAGAAGAAATTTAATTTGGATAAATTTAAGTCCACTTTTTTTTTTTTGTTTAGAGGACAAAGGAATCGTAAAAATGTGGTCAGCAATTTGCAATTCGCTGCTTCATAAAGAAAAGAGGTATAATATTTGTCGTGGTTTTCTTGGAAGTCTATCACTATAAATGTTGCAGATCCAGGACGAAATT